ATATATATATATTTATATATATATATATATATATATATATATATATATATATATATATATATATATATATATATATATATATATATATATATATATATATATATATATATATATATATATATATATATATATATATATATATATATATATATATATATATATATATATATATATATATATATATATATATATATATATATATATATATATATATATATATATATATATATATATATATATATATATATATATATATATATATATATATATATATATATATATATATATATATATATATATATATATATATATATATATATATATATATATATATATATATATATATATATATATATATATATATATATATATATATATATATATATATATATATATATATATATATATATATATATATATATATATAAATATATATATATATATATTATATATATATATATATAGTTGTTTGTTGTCTATGAAATTACATTAGGTTTCTGTAATTTAATTAAAGTTTTTTTTAATTACTTTTACAAAGTTTGTCATTATATTCAATACACTGCAGAATTACTGCATAAATATGCCTATTTTTAAAATATCCATTAAATTATAGTATATGTTTTGTTTTCCGAAGCTTTAGAAAAGTAACAGCTTTTCGCTTTTAAATCATTCTTCACGAGCCATGGCTACATTCAGAATTGCATCAATGTTTTCAGAGAACGCCACGGTTGTCAATATGAAATTGTCAAGGGAGTACAACTGTCTATCTGTAGATTGTTGAAACTGAACTGTAATAAAAAAACTTTAAGCGCAAATTATATAAAAGGTGAGCAAGACAGTTTTAAGCTTTCAAAATCATTTAAAGTGTATGGTGAAGGGTTGAAAGGAATAGGGCACAAAGAAGATATCTCAGAATAGAATACAGCCAGGAACTATGCTACTATCTATGCTTCTAACAGGTCTAGAGCTGTAACTCGATTCCACACAAGCTTGCGATGTTGCTTGTGAATGTTTATTGGAATGATTCAGATTCAGGAATTTGTGAAACATTCAGGAAATGGGTGGTTGACCTGATGATTATGGGGTGAGACTTGTATTCAATTGAAGGGCCAATGAGCAGCATTTTTGAGCCCTATGCGCAAACATTATACGTGGGCACCTCAAGTCAAAGTGAAGAAAAGGGTGTTGGTACATGGGCAGTGGGAGTGGAGGGTGAGGAGATTGTCGGCATTGAAAAGTTAAGACGATCGTCGACAGCCCCATTAGCAATGCCCCTGATTGAAAGGTTGTAGGTTTAATTCCAGGTCATGGTAAGAATTGAAGGTGGAGAAAGTAAATGTTACCCAGCTGAGAGATATCTTCAGCAAGGCACCTAACCCCTAATTGTTTTCTGGCCTCTGGAAGCAATTGGGTGCAATCGGGAGGGTGCACTTGAGATCTTAGTTGGCTAACTATGGCTTCTGGAATTAACCCCAAATTAACCCATTTGAACATTTGTCTCAGGAAAGCTTTGTTCACATTTTACAGAACTTTGAGACTATATTCAGACCTGAGAAGTGTTATTAGGAAGGCTTCATATTCAAAACTTTACCTAGCTTAATGCAGAGACCATTGACCGGTACAGCAGAAACATGTAGACCTTGATTGCAATGCAAGTCACTTGGATGTGTTTCTTCCACATATTTCTTAAGTCTCCTTAAGCAACTTTTGAGTAATATTTTATTCATTTCAAGTAGTGAAACTCATATAGGAAATGCTGATTTTCGAATCCCACTTGGGACTCTGGTATGGTTTTATTTAGGGTTCTCCTTTGTAGAAATCTTGTCATCCTAACCCCCCCATTTACAGCACCCCTTTGCCTCCAGAATGCTTACTTGTAGGGATGTAAGAATTTCAGAATTTCACTGTACGGTAATACCTCGGTATGAATGGCACGGTACGGTATTTATTGACTCATTTACAAGAAAAACAAAACTAATGAAAATACCTCAAAAAAGTGCCAAAAGTGTTAATGACATACAAATTAGCCATCTATCTGTAAGCTTTCAAACAGGAACTTCAATTTTTCAATGTTAATAACAAAAAAATATTAAACCATGTAAAAAAAATAAAGTTTCAATTTAGTATTGTTGAAAACTCATCACATTCAACATTTAATCACTCACTTACTCACAAGGAAAATTATCATATAACTATAATCTGGTAAAAGCTGGTATCTCTGGGTATTTACAATGTCCCCTGCAACAGAATAAAAACCCTCTCATTTGGGACTGAGGTTTCTGGGACAGAGATATGACTTGGCCCAGGTTGACAGCAGTGGGTAACGTTGTGCATTGTCTTTCCCCCACTTGAGAGGACAAGCCATGAGTGAGATAGAGGTCTCTTTGCGGTACAAGTCAATGTCTGCATCAATCTGAATAGTGTGCTGTGTTTCTGCAGTCCCCATGACTGTTATTAGTCGTATGTCCCAACTTGCAGGCACGTGCACACATAGGGCTCAACCTGTGCAGTGCACATGCCCTTTTTAGTCTTGGATAGAAAGTGCCCTTCCAAAATGATCATGATGACCTCCGTCCCGCCCTTCAGTATGCACGCTCAACCCCCCCCGCTTTACAGTACGCGCGCGACAACACAGCTGATCAGAACGCAAGTGACAACACCGCTATTCAGTACACGCGCGGCGATAACAACACCCCCAACCCCCCCTTAATGCTTCCACACATCCGATTTAAAACCTGCTTTAGGTTAGATCATTTCCAGCTCTTTTTCATCCCTGCTACTAGCAGCACATTTCATTTCCGCATTACTGGATCTGAAGCGACAACAGACCGCAAAGGATTTTCTCAGAAGACCTATAGTTTTATCGAGTCATGCGACTACGGTAATATTGAAAAAAGTTGCTATTACGGTATGACGGTATTTACAATACCGTTACATCCCTACTTACTTGTCATATTGTCAATATAAAGTGGCCAAATGTTCAAAAGTTAATCATTTATAGTGTAAAGAGTGTAATAGAGTTTTTCTCTTTATGTTTACAGCAGTTCTGTCTGGGACACACCAGAACCTTCACCTTCTTCCTGTGATGGTTCAGCTGCTCAGTACAATCTGCCTGACGTTCCTCCTCAGATGATACAAATGACCCCCGAGCACACACCGCCAGCGTAGGACGTCCCCTGCGGCAGCAATAACTACTGCCCCGACACGTGACCACCATTCCTGCTGCTGCCTCCCTCATTTCCTCCTGTGATTCCTGTTTGTTTTGCCTTCACACCATGTCTACTTTTTCTTTCTCGTCATCTTTATGGTCACTTGTTGAGCTTATATCTGCTATGTGGCACCTTTTACGTTTTTATAAGCATAGCCTCAGTTTATATTGGGATTTATTTTGACATGACCTCACTCGTCCTGTTTTCCCAGTGTATGTATCTGACACGCCAAAGTGTCAACTGTTACCAAAGATGACGGAGGGCTTACAGGATGAATAGGTGGCTAAAAGAGCGACAGGAACGCCCTTTCCCCAAATGAAACAACTCTTTCCACGGACTCAAGTGCATGGAGATGTGATTCCCTTAGAAATGCAAGGAATAACGGCGAGGAATGGACTGACAGAGTTACTGATGGATCTGTACATGCACGTGTATATGATATACTGTTTTGGAAAGTATCAAGCTGCAGCAAAGACTTAAGATGAATTCCAACTGCAACTTCTAGGACTATGACAATGTGAAACTAAAGAAGCACAAATTTATATCTTTTTTTGGTAGTATTTTGGGTTCCTTTACGTAGTATTCCGTCAGTCTGGATTTGCTGTACACTTCTTGTCGTTTGGCTTTCATTACCAGAAACCGCGTGCCACTGCTGCGTTGCTGTTCAGTTTTGTTACGAGGTGGAATTTGGTTTTGGAAAAACAACACAATGTGAATTCTGGACAAGAAAAGCATCAGTTACCTCACCCTCAATCTACAAGATCCACAAAGCACCTGGACAAACTTAAGAGAATGATCACTTTAGCTTCAATCAAACTGCCGGGAGAATGTTGACTCGTTGGGTCTGCCGTTCTCAATCAGCAATAGGACTGTACCTCTGACTGCAATGAACGCTCTCGTCTTCGTGAATATGGGCACATGACAGATGGACGCCTCTGGACAGACAAACTGCACTCTTGGCTTTAATGTTCAAGAATGTTATTTTGAATAGGGTAAGAGAGAATTCGCACCAATGTGCAAGCTCTTTATTAAACCTTTTATTGTTTAGAAGTTTTGAGATGGTTGACCTAAAAGTTGGTTCATTAGCGTCGAAGCATCCTACAACAATGCTGCATTCCATTTACTTCCAAATTCTCGCTTTACAACTTCCTACCTGGAAAATTGCAATAGATTTCCTCAAAGTCACTTAATCAAGATGGTGAGATCCACCCAGGTTAACGTAAACTTTAACTCTTTAGAAAACACATCAGCTGGTCAAAGTTCCTACATCAAATGATGATAAAACATTTTTAGCAAATTCACAAACAGTAACTGCATATAGTTGAACACCTGCAGAGCAAATGCTAGCACTGTGTAGCATCATTTATCCTCCAATTTGGTTTCTAATGGCCCTTGTATAGTTTAAATTAAGTTCTGTTTGGTTCTTCATTTGAGGGCAACGATGGACTATATACTGTTTTTGAACTCTCTAACAAGTTAAAAATAGCTCTTGATTCTTCTCAGTAGATATTCTGTTCATGAACCCATACTTAGCTAAGCTTGAACTGAAAAAAAGCAAAATAATGCTCAAATAATGCGCTGACAGAACTACTATATGAAGTTTTATAAACTAATTTCGAAAGAAGCATGTGATATGATTAATCGAGGTTGGCCTTGCATCAATAATCATTGCTAGTCCAATCAGATATCATTGCTAGACCACTCAGATGAATTCTAGCCTTCAATAAATAAGCCCATTCATCTTACCTTCCTTATCTTCATTTTTGAAGAAACTCCCCATCCACCCCATCTCCCGCTTTTCTCCTTTACCAGGAGCTCTTGAGACCTACCTTATTTCGAACCCCCGTCAAACTACATGACCTGGTAGGAGCCCTCGGCTCAAATATATCCACGCTCAGGGTTCTCTCCCGGGACAGCATGCCAAATCTGCAAATTTTGATTGAACAATTGCCAAGTATGAACTCTTGAAATAGTAATTATTCCTGCTGCTTGCAACAATGCTATTGTGCTGTCATGGTAACGCTGGTAAAATGACGCCTATTAATTGAATAATATGTGATTATTATTTTGGCTTGTGTTTTTAAAAGTCATTGTAGTCTAAGTTATGAAGTTATATTTAGTATTAACACTATTTAATAAAGTAAAAATAAATATATTACAGAGCATTTTTGGTTTCAGGTTCAAGTTTGGTTTTGGTGCAGAATTTTGGTGTATCCCTTTTTAGAAATTGAATGTTACAGATAAAAAAAGAAAATCTCTCTGTAAAGCAATTGTAGCTCAAAGGTGTTTAGGATTCGGAATGAACTCCTTCAATTCAAGAGTTCACACTTAGATATTGCTTGATGCTGTAAGAAGGTTTGAAATGCTGTCCTGGGAGAGAACCCTGAACTCGGAGATAATTGAGCCCAGGGCTCCCGCCTGGTCAATAAGCATATAAGAGGCCCGAGATCAGGTAGGTCTCAGGAGCTCTCCCTGGTGAAAGGAGGAGATGAGGTGGAAGTGGGGATTTTTCCAAAATGAAGATAAGGCCGTTGGGTAAAATCTGTCTATTTACTTTAGGTTTGAATCAATCTGATTGGATTATTGATTACAGATGAGAGTCCATCGGCGATCAATCATATCACATGCTCCTCTCTTCACAAAGATTGCTTTGGTGAGCTTTCAAACGTTGTTTTGGCCAGATTTGAAGTCATTTCAGTTCATTCCTCAATTCCATTTGAAATATATCAAAGCTTTAAGGAATTTCTTTTTTTGACAATCAAGCAATGATATCACAAGCAAACAGTAGCAGTTTATTTTCTCATTTATAGATTATCTTACAAATTTTAGGCAATTTAAGGCACTGAAAAATTTTTTTGACTAGATTTATGAATTTTTTTTAAGGTAAGTGGTTGCAAACATTGTATATGGACTGAATTTAAACTAAGAACATTACTAAATTTAATTTGTTTTAATTCAGCCCATATAAATTGTTTACAACCGCTTACCTTTAAAAATAAAATGTGCTGACTTTGAATGGAATGCAGCATAAGTGAAGGATGCCAGTATTTCAGGCTCACGTGCAATATGTTGTTATGAATTAATTTCCTATACCTTAATTGTTAAACAAACATAGGCCACCCTCCCTCAAGCTCTTTTTTGTTTTTAAACAAGTCACATGACAGAAAATAACATTCAAGCACATGGTTACAGTTCAGTAGCAATACGCAATGTCAGATCTTCAAGCAACAGTGTGAGCAAAATACCAAGACTGTGCGTGCGTGTGTTTTCGGTCCTTTCTGAAAAGTTCAAGTACTCCCCTTAGCTTCATCCCATCTCTCATCACCACAAGAAAAGAATAAGAGCATATGACAAACAAAAAGAAGAAGGAACCATTTGTGCCTCTGTTTGAGTGTCCAGATTTGCGTATGCTTAGATGTTATGGTGCAATCATATATATAAATATATATATACAGTATATATTTCAATTGCTTTGCTCTAGTATTACTCATAAGTCGTAGGTTCCATTGATGGTGGAGCTTTAAGGTAAGTCTGTTTACAAACATAACGATCATTTTTCCAGCTTGTAATATCCGCCCACGCTCATATTTAACCAGAACCATATTTATCCCAACGTGGCGTACGTCTGTCGCTGTTGAAGAGATTATCATAGACTCGCTCCTCAGGTAAATCCATAGGTAACAGGGGACAAGACCTGGAACACTTCAGCCCCAGTCCAGGTTCTCCTACAGTTAAAGACACTCCCGCGGCTCTAATACTGTTCCTCGTGTATGTTACCGTAACCGAACTCTTGCACAATGCCTTCACTACATGTCATGTATAATCCGCTATTGTTTATAGGCCGTGTTAGGTTTACTAGGACAAAAACGACTCGATTTGAAGCAAGAAGGAGAACGAGAGTGAAATAATAAACAGAGGGGGTATGTTACGAGATTGTTACGCCATCCAAATGTTTCCGACGTATTATTTCTTGTGTTACCCATCATCCACATCTGTCAATGCTTGGTTTTGCGTTCAGACCAATTCTGATTGTTTTATTCAGACAGAGCTTGTAAACACGGCATTATTTAAATAATGTGCAATATATGATGATGATGATGGAAGTGTTTTTATACAGTATCACAGGATTTGCATCATAACCCCTGTTGATGAACAAATGAATGTGAATGTAAATCTAATTCGAATGTCAAGTCATACTAGCAGGCCTTTTTTTTCCCTGCATTATAAATGTGCAGAAATTAGAATGGATCCTAAGCAGAGCTAGAGTGCTTGGCTTAATAATATTAGCGTTATCAAATTAGTTTAATATATTGTAAATGGCACTAAAAAGCTGGGGATGTGTAGACGTTTGTGAACGATGGCACATTCGCATACATGCAACTATAATTGCAGAATACAACAAACACATTGACATTGAGGGGTGTTTAGTGAACTTAATCACAGACTCTCATGAGCTGGGTTTCCATCGCCTTGTGTTAATGTGCATCCATTTTAAAGTATCGCATGAGAAATGAGTGATGGAAATGCCAAATTTTGAATAATTATACTTTAATTTGAGAATTTTTAGGTGGTTTTGGACTTAAAAATGTGAATAATATGAGATGGAAACATATTTGCTGAATAAACTCTGACGTATTGAGCATTTACACCCATGTGACTCCATTATGCTTGCTTTGTTTACTGTTGGTTACTAGGTTACCAATATTACCGTCAGCTGCTCTTAAAACTTAACCCTTTCACACGTGAGTTTTAAATTTGTATTTTTTTGTGATCGTTACTTAGAATCCATTGTGGTCTACAGTTCCCATGACGTAACATCAAGATTTTCACGTGATCCACCAGCCCTAATGATCTATGTATATATCAAATTTTGTTTCTTTTTGCCCTTTTCTGTAAATATTGACACATTTTCTAATAATTTCTGATACTTCGATTCTAAATTATGCGATAGAACACAGCTTAATAATGATCATATTATGTATTATATGATAGATAATAGGCGTCGTTGTCGTTGCTAGAAAGGATACAGCTGCGATCAGAAATTAACAAGAAGTACTTATATTATTTATCAAATTACGCATTCATTTATTAGCATCTACTGCTACCGCAACACGAAACCCATTGTTTATGGTAATGTAAAATAATTATTTGTTGTACAGCATCACAAATTTTTCGCTATATTAAAGCGAGCGTCCTCAGCTGTATCCCATCTAGACTTCTCCCTCTCTGCAAGACGGTAAAGTCTAGATGGGATACAGCTGAGGATACTCACGTCAGTATAGCATCGTTTTTGTGACACTGTACAACAAATAATATTTTTACATTACCATGAGGTTTGGGTTTAGGGTCGAGGTAGCGGTACATGCTAATAAATGAATGTGTAATTTAATAAATAATATGAATACTTCTCGTTGACTTCCAATTGCAGCTGTATCCCTTCTAGGAACAACCGCAGGAGAGATACGAGCTGCTGGATCTTTGTCATGTTTGTTAATACGTTATTACCTTCATTTTTAATTTTCTTTGGAAATACATGAAGGTAAGCAACTTTTTATCTGGGAGAGGAGTAGAGAAAATGTTTTAGTAGCATAAACAGTGTGCATCTTACATGAATAAAACACATCATCCGGTCATATTGAAAAATAATTATTATTGCCATCTCCATAGATATCCGCATGTATTTTGGAAACCCTAAATGGTCAGTTTTGCTTCTAGTTATGTGTATTTGAATATCTGAAACCTAAAATAAATGTTTGGCATTTGTTTGAAAGTATGAATAAATTGTGATTTATGACTAGCGCTGCACACCTCTTTCTGTGCTTCAGCGCATGCCATCAGGTTAGAATTTTAACAGTTGATGTGCGCTTTAAATGCTCTAATCACACAGGTGTGATCTAATGCTTCAGGGACCAGTCAAGGCTGATCACACCGGTGTGATCGCACGCGTGAAAGGGTTAATGGAAACGCCCCTAATTTGCATTTGTGATAAAGTTTTACACATTTTTCCAAAGTTTGAGAAGTTTTGCTTAATTTTAGGAGGGAAATGTCCTTTTGTAAGTTGTTACATGTTCCTTACAAGTTGGCAATAAAAAAAAATAATAATAATACATGTAAATTCATATAAAAACGTTTTCAAAGAAGTTTTCATCTTTGACATAATTTTGCATAGTTTTATTCCTGCCGAACAGACACTCGTATTCTGTTATTATGTTGCTATGTGAAGCCGATATCTAAACCCGTTGTCTTTATGAATTATGAAGAGTGAGCACATCTTGTTGCAGAACAATTAAAGAGGCATTAGTATTCAGTGGCATCATCCACAGTTGAGAAGTCCAATTTTGATTAGCTGGTTTTTCACTCTGTGTTAATGCACATTTTGAAGTATCACAATGATAATTTCAGATAAAATTCCCTAAATTTGAAAAAATGCAGGTTTTGAACTTGTGTGGAAAGTGTTAATATGAATAATGAGAGATAGCATCACATTTGCAGAATAAACTCTGACGTAGTAAACAATCAGCTGTTTCTGCTGATGGTGTCTTGTTTACTGTTGGTTACTAGGTTACCAATACTACAGTCAGTTGCTCTAATGCTGGGTTCACACCAAATGCAAATTTAAATATTCACGGCAAGTAGATTATGTACAATGGCAACAAAAACAAATTGCAGAAGTTTACGCCAGGCGGTGGAGATGATGTGGAATGCATGACGTGTTTGCCACAAACCCTGAATTAGCCTTAATCACATCTTCCGTGCAAGTTCAAGAAATTAAACTCAACGTAAAATATTGTATGAGGCAAAAAAAAAAAAAAAAAAACATCTCCTAAGTAATCTAGAGCAAGTGACAATTCTTTGCATCTGATGTGAACCTAGCATAACAACTTGATGGAAACACATATTCGCTATTGAGATTTTCAATTTTCCATATTGTGCGTTGAAAGGAGTTGCTTCAAGTTATGATGAACACCCAGCTATTGTCAGAAATCTCAAAATGTGACATGTTACGCACTTTTCATCTATCATTGATGTGTCCAAATGTAATGCTGGGTTCACACCAAATGCAGAATTTATTATTCATGTGAGTAGATTACACACAATTTCAATGCAAACAAGAATAAAGGTGAATTATGCACAAAGTGTTTGTTACAAATTCCTCAATAGTGTCTGTTGTGCAAGTTCAAATAATTCAAGAGAAAAACATCCTATGACTAAACAAAAGCAAATAATGCAGTGCTCCGCACTTGGTGTGAACCCAGCATAAGACTCATGTCCTCATGCATTATCAGTTGGAGTAGACATAGTAGAATGTACCATTAGAAATGTCATTTCCTGTCAGCAGTCCCATTTTAATTCTAATAAATA